AATGGTCAATATTCAATCCTACATTTTGCCACTTTTCTCCTCTATATAAACTCATCTTCCCCACATTTTTAAAATACACAACTTACATACATTCTTCAATCCTCATTTGTTCAAAGTCTCCATTGTTTATTGCTCTCTCCAAGCTTACAAGTTTATTTCTTTTCATCTTATTCTTGAGAGGAATTATTATTATATTGTGAGGAAATAGTTGTCAGTATCCCAAATTGTAAATCTACTCTTTGAGAGAGTTGTGGTGTGTTATTATCAAACTCAAATACTTGTATCGGTTTGATCCTGCGTCGTTGAAAGGATTGAGTTTGCTCTTGAACTCGTAAAAAGAGCGGTGTACCGGTTTGGCTCTGATCCGTGGAAAGAGTCGGAAAAGTTTTTTTATTCAAATTCCCAAGAGGCGCTTGGGGAGTGGAGTAGGTCGAGTTTGACCGAACCACTATAAAACTACGGTGTCATTTTCTCTAACTCTTTCCTATTTAATTTCAAGATTATTATTATGTTTATTGCATGTTCTACTTGATTATTGTTTTGACTTGAATTATTTTGTTTTAGTAATTATCATCTTCTACTTATTTGTAAAAAGTTTTATCATTAGAAAAATTAATCAAGTTTAAACACTTTTATCGTTAAAACCCTATTCACCCCCCCTCTAGGGTTGCCATACCGATCCAACAGCTGGGCCCCGAAGAAGAGTGGATTGTGAGATCCCACATCTATTGGGAAGGAGAAGAATCATGAAGAATCATTCTTTATAAGGGTATGGAAACCTCTAAAACTTTGAGGGAAAGCTCGAAAGGAAAAATCTAAATAGGACAATATGTTATATGTGAATTGTGTTGAGGATTATTGGGAGTGAGTCCCACATTGGTTAATTTAGTGGAAGATCGTGAGTTTATAAGTGAGGAATAATATTTCCATTGGTACTAGGCCTTTTAGGGAAACTCAAAGCAAAGCCATAAGAGCTTCCCCAATTGCTATTCCCATATTTTGCACAACATTTCCTTGTAATCATGGGTGCACTATTATTATGTTTAATCATTATATAGATATGGCACACACAGAATCGAGGCATCATACACAAAAGATGTCACCCCTTCTTTAGAGCAAGAAGAAATTCTAGCAACTAAGTAAGGAAAGGGCAAACCATCATAAGGACTATCTAGTGCTCGGTGTTACAATTGACGATAATAATTGTGCCTCAGAGAAAGTCATCAAGGATGATGACTAGTTAAGTGGGGAGAGTGTCACAACCTCACTTAACAATATATGAAGAAATTATAGCAACTAAGTAAGGAAAGGGCAAATCATCATAAGGAGTGCCCAGTGTCACAATTGACGATAACGATATTTTGCTTTAGAAAAAGTCATTGAGGACGATGACTAGTTAAGTGGAGAGAGTGTCACAACCTCACTAAAAGAAAGTATAGTAAGGAAAGGGCAAATCATCATAAGGAGTGCTCAGCGTCACAATTGACGATAACGATTGTGCTTCAGAGAAAGTCAGTTAAGTGGGGAGAGTGTGACAACCTCACTAAAAGGAAGTAGGTCGTGACCCCACATGCAAGAGAGACAAGGGGTGACCCTCAAATGGTACCCATCCCTATCATATTTTGGTCAAGATTGAGAAGTGTCATGATGCGACTGGGTGCATCATCCAACACACCAAGAGTGTGCATTGAAGCTAAATCAAGACATACACAAAGTTCGAGAGAACGAGGCAACACAAGTGTCAAAGACAAGCTTGAAAAAGGCCGGATAGGGTCCTGGAGTTAATTTGTCTCCGTAGGCAAGTGGATGGATGGCTGTTTGAAGCTCTCAAGTGGGTGGAAATTGCAAGGAAAGGCCAAAGAATTGTCTTCTTGCGTCCTTCGGTGGGGGCATATGGCTAGAAAGAAATAAGAGAACTATTTAGGATAAGTCTACTTTGTCTAGCTTCTGGTCTTTTGTACAGCTTAAATGCTACATTAGCTTTTGCAAATTCTTCTTTAACTATCCTCTTTCTCATTCTTTTCTATTTGAAGGCGTTTTGTAAGTAGTTTTCTAGTGCAGCATTCTAGAATTTGCAAGCAATTCTAAACGAAACATCCAAAATCGAAAGAACTTCAACGTCCTAAGCAATTCAACATATACATCTCACCATCACACAACATCGGACACTCGAACAGTTCATAAAATCAAAGCCGCAAGCATGTAGCCAATAAGCTCGAGTTAGTAGTGTATAGATACAGAACGTATGAAATCCAGGAATGCTTACAGAGTTAAAAACAGCCTAGGGGACATCTTCTCCGGCAATACCAGCTTGCAAATGTGGGAGCCCAAATCGATGACAATAGCTAGCCGATACCTCGTCTGTGGAAGAACAAGCAACTCGAGGGAAATAACACAGAAATGATTCGCGGATAAGCGCGGAACCTCCGTTGTGGCCATAGGTTAATAGAGGCCCAATTTTTCATCCGACAAAATTGGACGGTGGCCCAATACTATTTTTTAGCCCAGAAAGAATTATGGATTCATATCGTGGACTGAAAATGTTTACAAATTGAAATTTCGTGATGGTATGAAGATGAGTTTTCAAATTCAAATTTAATTCCTTCGTCTTCTTCCTTTCAGTTCCCTACATTTTCTTATGGTTACATGTGAACGCTTGCTTCAGATCAGGAAGCGTTCCTTCTGAGATTTAGGCGTTCCAAATCTTCACATTAATTATAAAGATTAGCGATTTGGGTACGTGGGGAGTGACCCATGTGGAGGTTGTCGTCGTCCATGAGCGTCGGAATCATCATATGAACCATGGAGCAACTTCGATGAAAGGGTATCCATTCCATTCAATTTCACCCACAAATCCAAATGACTTCTCTTTATCATCAACTCCTAATTTTATTTATTTTATTCTTTTTAAAAAAAAAAAAAAAAATCTTTATCTTTATCTTTATGATCGTCACACACACACACAAAATAAATATATTGAAAAAATTAAAAAGTGATAAATTAGGTAAATGATCATGTAACATGTTGCTCTCAATACTGCCTTTTAGATGGAAGCTCCTCCAAGTCATCCCAAGCTGATAATATTTTAATTCTAAAAAAAAAAAAATACACAAAATGATTATATTTACAAAATTTTAAATTGGAAAGTAATAGAGAGAAAATTTATAAATGCTAAAAACAAAATAAAAATAAAATGGTTATATTTTAATTATTATTATTATTATTTTAATGTTAAAATAAAGTTGCCCTTTTTCTTTTATAGTTACTGACATGAGATTATCCATCTTTTTGACCTAATGCGAAGATGTACGTTTCCTTTACCCAATAATTCAGGATCCAATAATAATTTTATATTATAATTCTTTTTTGTGTGTGATATTATAAAAACTTAATAATTATTATTGAAACAATTAAAAAAAAAAACAACCAACCTCGACCCATATGTTCAATCCATGCATGCATATATCCTCGCAAAACAATATAAGTCATTCTAGCACGTTTTTTTGTTCTCACTCGCATGTATCTTAAAAAAAAATTCAGAAGGTCACTCAATATAAAAATTGATTCAAATTTTAACTGTGTGTTTATAAAAGAATGTGCATCTTGATATTACAGGGAGTGACTTTCAGTCATCCTAATCTCAGAATTGCTCTCGTTCAATTATGGTCTCAGTTTATTAATGTGTCATCGGGATCACATGTTGTAATAATAATAATAATAATAATGTTGATGGTTGATTGAAAAGTATGTTTGCAGTTGTTGTTAGGCAGGGTATGCACCTTATCTCTTCCTTTGGCGCCAACCAATCCTTCAATTTCCGCTCTTTCACACATGCTTTTTGTTTCATTTGCCACACGAAAACAAATTCATGTATACTTTGAACCTTTACTACTCCTTCACTCACACATTCACACCATACATTTAATGCTTCCTTGCAATAGTTCTTAAAACAATATATAAATTATATTGATTTAAAGCGGGTTTAGATCATTAATTAATACATTTAAGCCTATGGCATTTAAGATGAATTAGTTGGAATAAGAGATGGGATTTTATTAATATTCTTAAAATTTTAAATTAAAAAAAAAATAAATAAAAATAAACTAGGTTAAAACTTAACGACCAACAACATATGATATATAACAATGGAATATTTTTCTTACCGAGAGGTTGTCGACATTTCGTCACAAACGAGCATATATGTAGATTTCGTTAATCCTAAATTTGATAAATCCTTCTATAATTATTAACGCCATAAAAATATAACAACACATTAGAATATTGTTAAATATAAAATATTTGGCATCAATTAATGCCAAATGTTTATTTCGAGCTTTTTTCCGTCGGAGTTCCGTTTAAAGGTCTTTTCCTTTATTATTCAATTTATTATTTTAAAAAATGAAAAGTGACAAAGATTGGAAATATTTAAACCGTAAACAAATATGGATGGATAGAATTACCCATTAATAACCTCTGTGGATTAATGTTTTTATTCTATTAATAATTGATTCCTCATATAAAAGCAAATTCTTTATTTTAAAAATTTTTTGGAAAATGTTATGAAAAAGGATATGTTTTTTAATTGTATGAAAATGAGTTAGACGAATCAGCAGCGGCCACGTGTCGTGTTAACTCTGCTTAAATGAAGGCTTAAATCCGGAGCCAATAGAATTAGCACTGCAAACTTTGGCATGCAGTTGGCAAAATCATGCAAAATTACAGTCTTTTCCAATAATTTATGTACAAATAATAATATATTACTAAATACTCACAGTCAGCTTAGCTCAGTTCATTGCGTATAGTTATATTTTTTATTCTAACAAAAAGAATAATATTTGAGTAATTAAATTGGGTTCACATTGGAATTATATTATTATTTATAAAAAAGAAAGTATTATGAAAAATAAAAGAATTGATAAGGTAGTTGAAGAGAGGAGTTTGAAGTGTAAGTGGGGGAATAAATTAGAGAATAATTAAGGGCATCCGCCATGAACGTGAGAAGTCGATCACACCCACCTTCTCCATTCTCTATAAAAGCCCTCCAAGCCCCTTTGCTTCTATAAGCTCCTCAATGCCTATCAGTCTCAACATGAACAACAATAAACCCATTTTCTCCGCTTTCCTCTTCACCGCAATCCTCAATTCCCTTCTTTTCTCTTCTTCTCTCGCCCGCGTTTTCACGGAAACCACCACCGTCTTCGATGTCTCCGCTTCCTCTAACCGAGCTCAGAACGCCCTCTCCATCACCCCTCCTCAATTTCACTCCCATCACCTTTCAAATTCCTCTCTGTCTCTGTCGCTGCACTCCCGACTCGCCATTCATAAGCATAATTACAAGGACTACGAGAGCTTGGTCCGAGCTCGACTCGCCCGTGATGCCGCCCGTGTTCAATCCCTTAATCGGAATCTTAATCTGGCTTTGGCTGGTGATGCGGTCCGCCCCAACTCCTTAACCGCCCCTGTTGTTTCTGGGCAGAGTCAGGGGAGTGGGGAGTATTTTGCACGGATTGCTGTCGGGCAGCCGGCTCAATCGTTCTATTTGGTGCCCGACACCGGCAGTGACATCACTTGGCTACAGTGCCTGCCCTGTAGTATTGGAAATACCTGTTACCCACAAACCGACCCGATATTCAACCCGACATCCTCGTCCTCTTACAGACCCCTGTCTTGCGATTCGCAGCAATGTCAATCCCTCAACAGACCCGGATGTCAATCCGGCACGTGCGTGTACCAAGTCTGGTACGGCGACGGTTCGTTCACCACCGGTGATTTCGCCACCGAGACGCTGACCTTCGGAAATTCCAAATCCATCCCCAATCTCCCAATCGGCTGTGGCCACGACAATAAAGGCCTCTTCGTCGGAGCCGCCGGTTTGATCGGCCTCGGCGGTGGGGCTCTTTCCCTCTCCTCCCAACTTAAAGCGTCGTCGTTTTCCTACTGCCTCGTCGACCGCGACTCGGACTCGTCCTCCACTCTGGAATTCGACTCGGCGCGACCCAGTGACTCGATCACTACCCCACTTCTGAAAAACAACCGAATCGACTCGTACCGGTACGTGCAGGTGACCGGAATGAGCGTGGGGGGGAAGGCGCTGTCTATTTCTTCGACGAGATTTGAAATCGACGGGTCGGGAATGGGGGGAATAATCGTGGACTCGGGTACGTTTATAACTCGGTTGCCGACTGACGTGTACGAATCATTGAGAGAAGCGTTTGTGCAAGGGGCGCGGAGCCTGACAGCGGCGGGAGCGATATCACCGTTCGACACGTGTTACAATCTGGCGGGTCAGTCGAACGTGCAGGTGCCGACGGTGGCGTTTGAATTGTCAAAAGGTAACTTGCTGCAGCTGCCGGCGAGAAACTACTTAATACGAATGGACACGGCGGGAACTTATTGCTTGGCGTTTCTCAAATTGACAACGTCGTCGCTTTCCATAATAGGGAGCTTTCAACAGCAGGGAATGCGTGTCAGCTATGACCTGGTCAACTCCCTGGTCGGATTCTCGTCTAATAAATGCTAAAGACGCTGAAGCTCAGCCACCAGCCACCAGCCACCATCCAGCATCCCCCAGATGGGATTAAAATATAGCAAAGTTGGGTATTTATTCGATAATGTGTAAGAAATTAGAGGCGGTGGATGGAGTTAGTTATGGATATTTGAATCATAGTTTTAAAAATAATTAAATTTGTGTGAGGAGTAATTTTAGGATTATGAAATGAATTAATGATATAGTGATATTATGTGACATAACGTTACAAAAGTTCTGTATCCATTAAGAAATGCACGTGGACCAAAAACTAAAATAAAATAATAAATAAAAGTCTCAATCCAGCTGTCTTCTAAATTATTTTAATACAACAGCTGTATTACTTATTTATTCTTTTTCAGTTTAGTTTTTATTTTACATTTCTTCTTCAAGTTTTTAATAATATTCGCATCCAGTTTCTATTCTATTGGTATAAAATCTGATGTTATTTATTAACACCATCGATGATGGGCTATCCATAAATTATAAAATCTCTACTTTACTAGCTCTATCAGTTTTGTTTTTCTCTTATTATTATTTTTCTATCATTTTAATTCGAGGAAATTCAAATCTCTAATTGATATAGATATATTTTGAAGATTCAACTATATATTTAAATTGAAAACAATATAAAATGTTAAGTGTTACGATCCAAGTCAAAAAACAGGACTAGGTTTGAGTAGTTGACGCTAAAGGTCATATATGCCTTTGCGTGATCATAGGTACCGTGACTAAGGTTTTTTTCTCCACCGTTTGGTATTAAATTCTTTTTTTTTTTTTTAATTTTTTATTAGTATACTTTCCACTTGCTCTGTCTAATTTTTTAAATATATAGTTTGGTATTAAACATTTTTCATTACTGACAGTTTTGTAAAAGTTGGATTACGAGAACATTGTCTGATATAAGAAAAACAATATTTATTTATTCCTTTGTAAAAGAAAGACTTTAGTATTTTCCAAGTCTTCCTGTGATAGCGTCATTTATTATTCTTAACATTTGAAAATTCTAAAAATAATGAAACGGAAAGCAAAAATTACGCCGTTGCCGGGGATCGAACCCGGGTCACCCGCGTGACAGGCGGGAATACTTACCACTATACTACAACGACTTTTTGACTGTCGTTTCCAAATTTTTTTATATAGAGCTTAAAATATATATCTTTTATTTAATATTTTATCAATTTCTTTACGATTATCAACACCTCAATGTCATTATTATTGTTACTATATACTTCCCTATTTTATTTATTGTGTTTTACCATTTCAAACAAACCTGAAAAGGTCATTTAAAACGGATTATTATTGATTGAAAATATATGTATTAACTAGACGATGAGCAAGACACTAGAGAAGATAATATGATGTGTGAGCCCAAATGAAAGCAAAACTTAAAGAGAAATGAGAAGACTTCTATTTGTATTGATCTTTTACAAATACATCTATTTTGCATATCAAATTTTCTACCCTCACTATGTAGCTAACTCATCAGGATTCATCCTCCCAACATCTTTGCCCGACCACTGTTATCCAACACATCTATACCTTAAAACAGTTGCAGAACCGCCTCCAAAACCCGGGAGATTTCAAATTTTCCCATTCCACGGGGTCGTTAAACGTAGCTTTCGCACTTAACTCGTCGAAAGAGTCAACAAGGTTTTGAAGCCTCGCTACAAATTCAATCAGGAGAGATGTGAACGTAGCTAGTGACAATGCACTTGCATTTTCGTATGTTTTCGACTCCTCTTGGATTACTCCATTTGGTTTGACTGAAATCTGTGCAGGCCATGATCCCAGTTTCTTGAACATTTTGGTGGGGGGTACTGCAGCAGAATGTATAGAGTTCATGTCCGATGACACGGTGTAATCGCTGCTTTTCGGGACTGGGAAGGCCCTGAGATCCAGCACAGCTTCACTGAGGGACCTGTACTCACGAAACCTGGTTTCCTCGTCGTCCAAGTTGAGTAATTCTTGAGGCTGTCCGACGTCCTCCGAACGATTCCCGATTTCCCAGCTCTCTGAGTTTACAAGAAGATAGGATTTTGCATCGATCTTCTTTTGCAACTCTTCTGCAGCATCATGTACCTCAGAAAGTATGGATGCTGAATCTAATGTTTCCATCCTCTTTAACTTGTTTCCAAGCTCACGCAAGACCTTAGCTCCTTCGTAGCCTACCCTCCGGAGCTCATTGCCAAATACCTGTCGTCTTTCAGCTGGGGCCTGCATATCCATTGAAAGGTAAGACCAAACCAATGGAGGGAAGATAGAATTAATAGGACACCGCAATTGTATATATGAACAAATGAAACTGCTGAAAAAGAGAATGAGATGAATCCCAAGCATCCTTCATACTGCCCCTCGCTAGCTGTCTGTGGTGTTACAAGAAAAGAGAATAAGTTTGCACTCAACCAGAAACTGCCAATCATACAAAAGAAATGAATGGAAGTTCGAAAGATTAGTCATACAATGAATTGATGCATGCTAAATTTGGCCAATACGATATGTAACCGTCCAAGCCACCGCTAATAGATATTGTCCACTTTAGACCGTTACGTATCACCGTCAGCCCCACGGTTCTAAAACATGTCTGCTAAGGAGAGATTTCCACACCCTTATAAGGAATGTTTCGTTCCCCTCTCTCCAACTGATGTGGGATCTCACAATCCACCCCCTTGTGGACCCAGCATCCTCGCTAGCACACCGTCTAGTGACTGGCTCTGACACCATTTGTAACAACTCAAGCCACCGCTAGCGAATATTGTCCGCTTTAGCCCGTTACATATCGTCATCAGCCTCACGGTTTTAAAACGCGTCTACTAGGAAGAGGTTTTCACACGCTTATAAAGAATATTTCATTCCTTCTCCAACCGACGAAGGATCTCACACGATGTATCAAAAAAAACCAGGTAACCCAGAAGAATATTTATGTTAGCTATTAGCACAGTCCATGGCTCAATGGGAAGTTCGAGCATCAAAGCCAAAGTACCTGTATTTCTGAAAGTATACACCCATGTAATGCCATGACAGCAAATGCACAATGTCTCAGCGCACCAGCTACTTGAACATAGTTCTTCCATGGATATTTAAGTATCTTGTAACGACCATGTGGCGGTTCCCAGATTGCAAATCCCATCTTCAGAGAAGAGATAAAACAAAGAATAAACAATTTATATTTCTTATTTTCACGAAGAAAACCAGCATAGTGTCAACAAAACTCACCAGAGATTCCTCTTGACTCATAGATTCAACAGCTGACCGGTAGCCTTTGTACAATGGATCATCAGACGCTTGGTAAGTAAGGATTTTGGAAGGTATTCTCTCGTACTCAACACAATTAAGGTAGTTATCAACACATCCTAAATGAAGTTATCAACACAATGAGCAAGAAATGAGATTTGGTTTGATAATAAAATTTTACCAACGCAAGCAACAAGCTGCTAACCAACCTTCCAAGGATGCTGCAACGCCTGCAAAATTTTTCACAACAAGATTGTGCAGATCCTCACCAGCCCAAATGGGGTAAATGCATATGTTAACCACCAAACAAACACCAGCACCAAGAGCAATGAGCAAGAATCGAGTCACAGCTGTATGGATAAACTCCCTAGTTCTATACCCCGACACCATTATGAAGCAATACGTTAGCAAGAACACCCGAAATCCATATTCATAAGGCTTCATTGTGGGATACAGCTTAGCATAAGTAGCAAAGAATCCTGTGATAAAAATACTGATTACCACCACAACCTCCTCCCAGTCTCCGGCAAGAACTGATAATTCTGCCATTCCCAATGCAAGACCACCAGCTGACAGAGTGCCCAATCCACGGTTGAATCCTTTGCTCAGAGTTGCTCCTGCAAACAAAATAATCATCCTGTTCTAATATAGCCGTGTTTATAAAAGAATCATAAGAGTTCGATATTTAGATTACTCAAAACAACATCAGAGCAGAAGGACATAGAACAAGCAGCCCATGGCAATCATTAGTAAATGTGATCTAAATCCAGGCAACAGTGAGAATCGCACAGTACCTATGCTGAACTCAAAGACGACGACGACAGTGAGAATCGCCCAAACAGAGTAACGGCTCAACTCTTCAACGGGCTGCTTGAAGAAGATCAACAAAGAAATAAGCATCAAAGCGAGACCCATCTTGGCAGAGAAAACGATCTTCCTAGGGTCGGATACACCCATCTGCCAAGCTTCGTAAACAACATCCTTCGCTGATTTCCAGAGACGGGAGATTCCGAGAAAGGGAGAACAAGAAGAAGGGTTTTCCTGAATGGTTTGAAAGGCGCCAAAAGCTAGGTCGGGGAATTCCTTGGCGGAAAGCAGCCTCTCCCTCCGCTCGGCAAAACTATGCTTGAACGAACCGTATTTGGCGACCATGATTGAGCGGAAAGAAAAGGTGGAAACTAAAGAGATGAGAATTCCATGGAAAAAGGAGGTAAGCAGAATTTAAATGGCGTACAGAGAAGATTGAAAGGAGCGACATGTGATTCTCAGGAAAAGGTACAGAGGACAGAGGGAAGAGGAAACTTGAAATGCGCGCGAGGGAGGGGTGTTTTAGTAATATCAAGTGCTAATGAGACCCACTTGATTTTGAGGACCAACCCTGTCCCCTTCCCTTCATTCCACTTTCCAAAGGGATTTTGGAAATCCCTTGTTCTTTAATTCTGCTAAATTAATTATTAATAGATATTCAAAATTCATGATGAATTTACATTTTTACCCTTTTACATGAGAATGGTTAATGGAAGAAGCTTCTTCTATACATGTAACTGTTCACATGATGAAGGGCAAAGATGGAAGCAATGATGCCAAAAGTTATAATTGAAAGTGATCAGTATGTGGATAAGATAAACAACACCTTTATTTCCCATCAAAATATTCCCAATTTTTTTTATACATTTTAAATATTATACCATAAATTATTATTTAAATACTTAATTATAGGTTAACTATGTTGTATTTTGATTATGATTATGACAACGATGGTTATGGCACGCCTTTAAAACTTGTAATATAATGAGAATTAAGCTTTCGCATTAAATTTTATATTATAACTTCAACAAAATCATAATAAACTACATTCTTGTGTACATGTATAATAATCATATGGGATCGAGAATGATCTGCACCATGGCATTCCTTCCCTATCTCCCATACCCAAGCCTTCTCTTTCTACCTGTCTGTCATATCACAAGATCCAATCTCCTCGAGCCCCACCCCGGCTCAAGGTATGACACACTGATGTCATTCGTCTAATTTATCTAACACAAAAATAAAAATGTTCTCTACTCTCTCTATATTCTCGATTTAGGGTGAGTCCCTAAATCTTAACCATGCTGTAAAATAATAATCTATTATAAAATAAATAATTGGGGAAAAAACAAAGTAGTAATATTTATTTTTATAATTTAGGGGTGATTTTGGTTTACTAGATTTTATTTATGCATTTGCTTTCTTTATTAGTATATATTTAGATTTGCATGGTAAGTTAAATATAAATAATAAAAATGTAAAATTAATTTATTTAAAGATAATTAGATAACTGGTGCATTGAAGTTGATGTCCAACAAAATGGGAGGCATGCAGCACTAACATGGCATGCGCATGATAAGATGATGCCGTCGCCTTTATGTCACCATCTCAACTCTGCTTCTTCCATACTAACTTCTACATTTATCTCAATTCAGATTTTAAGTTTAATTTAACCGAGAAAATCTCTTCCCATTCCAATGCCATACATACCATACATCATACTATAAACAGAACATGGTCTCCGATCGATACGGCGGCAACTCCACCGCTCCGTCCGTAGTATGATCCAACAATCCACCCAACGCCGCCACCTCTTCTTCCCTCCGATTCCATTCAATCTCACTGCTCAAATTTTCGAGCCAACAGTAATTAGGAACTTCATCCTCAAATCCTAAGAATCCTTTCATACCGGCGTTACCTGAATATTTGCCCCCAAAATTAACAGGCTCCATCTCCCCTTTCAAGGCGGCGGGCGGAAGCCCTAATTCGTCGTCCGACGCTTCTAGAAGGTATCCAAGTTCAGGCTGAACAACAGTCACCGGGACGTTTATTTCCTTCTCGAAGCTACTGATCACAGAGTCGAGATCTGGAATCGCCAATTCGCGATCTATGGAAACGTCGGCTTCGTCGAGAATCTTCAGTAGGTCTTCCTGAATTGGGAGTGGCTGAAAGGAGTCCAGGCCTGAATCACTGCAGTGAATAGCTCCACTCTGTTTAGAAACGATCGATTCTGCATCTGATGAAACGGAGTCAACCGGTGCATCCTCCAAATCCGGCGAGATGACAAAATTGAATTCAGCGGAATCAAATCGGAGGATCTTGGAGCCGACAAAATTGAATAGAGATTCATTCGATTCATCTCGTACTCGCTTCCTACTATCAATGCAAGGTTCCATTACAGAGGAACTGATAAAAAGAGAACCAGAAATCGCATGAAAATGACAAGAGCCAAGTAAATTACAGAGAGAAAGAGAGTTGGTGACGGGGTAGAGGAGGAGCCAAAATCTGGCCATTAAATAGTCGGGAATTGCACACATTTGGCGCGTACAGTTTTTATTTTATTTTAATTTACTTCAAATTTAAAAATAAATGCTGCTTTTAATTGTTAAACGAGAAAATTGATATTCCGTAGCATAATATAAACCAAAAATGTTTGAAAATTTAAGTAAATTTAAATCCAGCTTTTGACGTCCGTTCAAAAGAACGTTCTAGATACTCATCGCATTTTTTGATATTTGCTGTTATTCAGCCACTGATAATTAGACACGTGGCATATGAAAATACGCCTACCTTTGTCGGTCTTAAATCCTCGTGGAAGCGCCTGCAAATGCCACGTGAATCATGTACCACGTGATCGGATGCCGTTGAATCATCAAATCGGTGAGCTTCCCCCATCAGCTCCTTAATGTTGATTTAAATGTATCAAACTTTTTAATTTAGTATCTTGAAAATATATTTATATCTAAGAAGGATCGGGATAGAATTTTATAATTCTTAATAAAAATAATATTTTTGTAAACATATATATTATAGCAAAATAGAGACTAAACAAAATGGTGGCCCACACAAACATTAGCGTACGAAACACCAGAAATAAAATCCTAAGATCACATGGGTGGGGGCCCAGTATGCGTCGTTTCAACCTTTTCTAAACCACCTGCACGCTACAAAAGTCCCTACCATTACTCTGATTATTAATTTTTAATATATGCTCTAATTAGTTAATTAATAATTGATAATCTGGATTTAGGGATTTACAAAATAGGGCTTATAATTGGGATTGCTTACAACAACCAATATTTTTATATTTATATATATATGTTACATATTTGCACCTCAATTAATATTTTTATTTTTATGTGGTATTTAATATATATATTCTTCCTTTATTTATTATAAGGTCGCTTTACAACATCATGTAAAGAGCAAAAAGAAAAAAAAAAAAAAGTCGAGCATTTCATGTGCTTTGATAAATGCAAGAATATAAAAGACAGTCAATTACGTTTTCGATTCCGGCACGTTTTTAATTATTTTCATATTCTAAAATATAAATCGATGAAATTAAAATTTTGTCTAAATTTATTTTTAAATAATGACAAACATGTGAAAGTTATGAATTTATATCAACTACAAAAAATGCCGATCATCCCATGTGTTGTTTTTTAAGTCTACATGCGTTTTTTCTTTTGGTGGATGATAAAATGGGTTAAAATAGACCTTATTTATTTGTTTGGTTCAATTGCTCAAATTAACACTCAACTCAAGTTTATGGGTCAATCTCGACCTTGGGGACCCGAGTGTAACCCAATTTTTATCATCTTTTATCTCAACTCTAAACAAAATCAACTACTATATTGAATGAGATTTAAACAGTCTTCTATTAGGAGAAGATTAATTCAATTAAGTATGAGTCTGTTTTTAATTTCTAAATAATTGCTTCACTAATTTTGTATTGGAAGATACCAAACCAGTGTAAACATTTATCTTGTCAATTAATAGAATAGTAAAAAGAATTGTAAATTAAGACAAATTATTTAATGACCTCGTGCTTGTTCTTCCACGTCGGGATTTGTCGCCGGCCTTCATTTCGATCTGACCGGCAATTCTTCATCACCGGTCACTTCTTCCCCTTCCCACGCCGTTTCACCACCGCCGGCCCCGCCTCATCGATTCTCACTTCCGCTGCTGGCTCCTCCTCCTTCTCTTTATCCACCGTTGCTAAAAGTATTATCGAGGATCATTGAGAGTGAGTCCACCTTAATTAATTGGGTGAAAATCATGTGTTTACAAGTATCTCTATCCTTAGAGATGAATCCTTTTGATTTAGCTATGAGCACTTATACTCAAAGTGGACTGTGACACAATCGTGAAGATCAACTCCGCCGCCGCCATCATATCTAATAAATAATTTTAATTTAATACCTAAGGAGAACAAAATACTCATTTTCTTTTGTACAATATCAAAACCCAAATCATCCATCCTTCTTTACACGTTGCCTTCTTACAGCCACGTCAGCATCCGACTCTTCACTATAACCCCAAGCTAAGTTCTAACTCCACGTCACCAACCTGCTCAACTGCAGAACCCTCCACCGACAAACACTCGGCCTCGTCGCTGCTGCCACTGCTGCCGTCCTTCTCCTGCGATTTATGGCCCACCCAACTATCCAGCTCGAACATCAAACACCGGGGCTCCGAGACAATTCGGGTCGGGTCGTCGAATGCGAACTCGGTTACCACCACCGGCTCCTCCTTCGGCATCGGCTTGTTGGGCGCTGATCGCTTGAGCCGCCGTCGCGTTTTGATCTTCTGGAGCGCGGAATCAGGGGCGGAGCCTTGTTGTCTCGAAACGTGGCGGATGTCGCAGCCCTTCAACGGTGGGCCCATGTGCGACGCCGCAGACTCGGAAGAAACAGGCAGAATCGGTGCACCTTTGAGAACGGCTTCGACGGCGTCCTGACAGAGCTGCCAGCTCCCGGACCACAACAGTCCGGCCGACCCATAAATCGGGTTCACAATCCGCCCACACGCCTCGAATAGCAAAGATTTAAAAATCGCTGAAACACCCCAAAAACAAAAAACAGCCTTAGGTAAGTGAAACAGAGCAATGAAAACAGAGTAATTGAAAGAGAGTAGAATATGATGAAATACCAGGGCGGAGGTGATCGGGGCCGGCATTGATGAGGTTAAGGAGGCCAGCTCGGCCGTAGAATTTGGCGAGGAAGAAGGTGGCATTGGCTTGGGATTGGGGGGTTTTGATCCATTGAAGACAAGGCCTGATGGAGCAGCTTTCACTGCAGCCTTTGCGAAGAACTCGGCATCCATTACAGCTGAGACGCATGGCGTGATGGATGGATGAACAACGAAGAAGAAGGTGTGTGGAAAATGGAAGAAATGTAGATGGGGAAAGAAACGAGGGGGGGTTTTGTTTTTGTAATGATGGCCGCAAGTGGTTTTCCAAGAAAATGGTGGTTTTCCAAGAAAATGGTAGTTTTCCAGTTTCGGTGATTCTCTGGTTTTTTGCTAACCATTGGGAAACTTTCTTTGACCACTTCCATCCGATACCATTAATTATTTGTTTATTCCCACCCTTCTTTTTATATACTCAATTCTTAGTCGGATTATTAAATTTCCTTTTCCATCCTTTTTTCTTTTTGTTTTCTTTCTCTAATCGTTAATTATAACTATTCAGATAAATTTTAATAATTACTTGATTTTAAATAAAAATATTTAAATTCTAAATAGATTTCAATTTTTTAAAAATAAAATAGTTATAAAATGAGACATTATTTTTTTTTTCTTTTCAAAACTATGATTATGATGTAATATTTATTATTTAAAAAATGTTAAAGATATGTTTTAATTCCGAATTTTAGATCATTTGATTAAATTTAGTCCATATTGCCTAGAAAGTTTGAAATTAGTCTATTATATTTAAAAATCTAAAAATATAAAAATATAAAAATTGGGTTTCCATTAAGAAGAAAAGTCAAAGTTTTGTTTGCCAAAAGTGTGTGAATTTAAAGGAAGGAATCATAAAATTTCGTGGGTTGAATGAGTTATAATATTTTTTATTTAAAAAAAGTATTTAAATAAAAATAAAAAATGGGAAGGTGAAGAGAGTGGGGTCCACAGTTGGAAGACAAGTCCAGTGGGCGCCCAGAGTGTGGAGTCCCATTTCCCATATTTCCAATTTTAATTCCAAACCCAGGCGCCCCCCATTTTTATTTTATTCAAAACAAATATAAAATAAAAATATTATTAAATAAAAACAGAGTAATATTAATGGGCTGCTTTGAACCCAAAACTTGTGGGCTTTTTTTGATGCAGCCCAAAACTAAAAACAGGTATAAAAAAAATGGCATTCAATGGATGGGAAAATGGCTCCACAACACCATACATACATACATACATACATACGCAGCCATATTATGTATATATAATAATAAACACTCTGAAACTGACCTCTCAGAGTATTATTGATATTGGTCACTAAGTGAAACAAAGAACAATGGAAAGGGATTAATAACTAATCTGCATTTCTCTTCTTTATTTCCTGGATTAGTTCCTCCAAAACATCATTAGTCACTTTAATTACACACATATCTCATCTCTTTGAGATTTTGATGAACGACGACGACGACGACAACAAACGGACTCAGCAAGAACAACCATTCTGCAGTTGATTGACTCTACTATGTACAACTTTACACACTAATAAACAACAAAAAGAAAAAGAAAAATGGAAAACATCAGTTTCAATCTCCTTCCTCCACTTCAAAAACTTAGCCTGCCTTCTTCCCTTGGGGGGTTGGGTTATATATATATGGTGCTCTGTGGCTTTAAGCCACAGCAGAAATGCTGCAATTTCGAGCATCTCGATTCAGACAGTCGAATCCTTCGATTCGAACTGCTGCAGGTCGATGACCGAATTTCATTCGGGCACAACCTCCTTTACGGGTTGAGGGAGATGGTGGCCCTTCACTGGCTTGGTACATATTGTTTCTATTGCCAAATTGCTCATCTTGGACTAGAGGGTTGGATGCCCTGCTCGGTGGAGACCCCCAAAAGAACGGTGGAGATGTTCCTAATTGCTGGCTATATGTTTCACCATAACTTTCCTATAATATAAAGTACAACCCTATTCAAAACATTGCTCATAGCTCTTTAATCAATCGAAGATAAAACAGCCAAGTTTTTGCAGGTTGAGATTGATAGAGAAAGAGTGTCGTTAAGAACCTTAGTGAGGATCATATCCAGAAGCTCGGCTCCTGCTTTTGAATTTCCTGTCTTGGTGTGGCTGTAAGGAAGCAGATTCATATATCAGCAGCTTGTTCCCCAACAGATTCATGTTCAAATCAATATAATCAAAAGCAGAAATTTTCTAATTCTGGCAAAAACGAGTTTAAATTGGGATTAACGAACCTGATGGGCCATCTATGAGCTCTGATGGGGTCATTATCATATGGAGTTTGCAGAACCAAACGACGTGGCTTTGGACAAACCACAGATTCCATCCTCATCTCTTGGCAGGCAGCCATGGCATTCTGCTCATAAACCCACTTGTTCATTCTCTCAGATATTCCTCCTAGCAGTTCAAAGATCTACAGAAAAAAAAAAAACTCAGTCAACTTGTTATTTCAGCCGGGGGAAGAAGGATCAGAAGAAGAAAAGTCCATTTTAAACTCTCTATACGTGTAAATCAAGACTTCATTTACTCCCATAGAAAAATTTGAGAAAGACGTGAACATGCACAGCACAAAGCTCAAAGAGGGCTCTCCAAGAAAACAACAACCAGATAAATGTTCGAGAACTCAAAATTGGGGGAAAACTGAAATGAATAGAAAATTAAGTCATATTCTCAATCAATTAACACATTCAGAAAAGTTAATTGGTGAATCAACACTCTAACCATGTTCCAGGGCTCTAAAATCTCATAACCCTACACCCTCCATCAACAACCAAACCCGTAATTGTAATCTCAAAAAGAAGCAAAAAATTCCAGCAGATTGGAGCACAAAAGCAGCAATCCAAACCGCAAAAACATCTCCAATGTTGTAAAACAAGCAGTATTCTAACTCATTAACCAACACAAACACAGAGAGGAGGAGGAGAGACCTGAAACGACGAGCTCCTCCGCAGAAAGGAGGATCCGAAGGAGGAAAAGAAGTAGAGAGAGAGAGAAGGGAAGAAGTGAGAGAAGCAGAGCGCGTCGAGTTAGAGTGGGCTAGAGAGAGACTGAGGAATTTGAAGAGAAATGAAGAAAGAGGAGTTGCAGTGGAGTTGGAGCTCAGTATTCATAGGACGGGGATGAAGACGATGGGTAGGTTGGAAATTGGAGACGCGCCATTCTAAGCTGCGCCAACCACCATTGGATGGTGATTCGCTTAATGATTTCATCTCCCGCCGTCGATTCAGTTCAGTGGGCCCCGCCCTGGGAGATTTTTCGGCCACATGATTCCGGATGCCACGCGTTTATTAATTTTAATTTGTAGATCTGCAACCTCAATAAAAGAAAAAAACACATTGCTCATCTTTTTTCTTTTATTTTTCTTTTTCTTTTGGCAAATACTGTTACAAGATAAATTCTAACGCTAACTCGAATAAACTTAGAAGTCATTTTTTTCCGATCCCTCTAAAAATTAATTTAATTCCTCACGGGTCAGCATTCTTGTTGACACGCTGCTTGATGTTTTACTCTAATACCATTTGTAATGACTCAAGGTCACCACTATCAAATATTGTCAATTTCACCTGTATCATTGTCAACTCCACGATTTCTAAATGTGTTTGATACACAGAAGTTTTCACATCTTTATAAAAATATTATAATATGATTGTGTGTTGCATCTCCCTCTCCCTTTTCCCCTTTATTTTAACCCCCTAGATATTGGAATCACACGAACTCATCTCCCTTATTTTTTATTTTGTCTTTTAATGTATTATTTATAAGTCAAATTAAGATTTGAAAACCATATAATAAAAAGTATATATATTGACGAACGTGACAAATTAATATGATTGGGTTTCATTAATTAACTTTAATATTCTTTAATCTTATAGTTTTAAGTCAAAGTTATCATATTAATTTTTGTATTTAACTAATTATTAAGCCCAACCCCACGACATGGAAACAAAGGTGTCCATTCTTGTCTCATGCTTCTTGCCTTTTCTTTTTTTTTTTTTTTTTTTTTT